CTTGCATGCTGTCCGGATGGCTGGCTGGCTAGCTTGCAGCGTGCTGTTGCTGCTGCTGCTTGCTGATGTTTCATGCCGATAACTACAACGGGGCTCTCCTGGGCTGGATCTGAGCCGTATCGTGCCTTCTGTGGGGCTTCTTGGGCTACCTTGGAGACCAGCTGGGCCTTTGGGGGGCAATCGGGCTGTCAGAGCGGGCGTCTTGGGGCCGCCCTGGGACGATGCTGAGCCGCCCTGGAGCCGTAGTCGGGCCAATGGCTGGAACAATTCAGAAGCGCATTTGCGCCAATAGCGATCTCAGGATGCAAAACCGCCGTAGCAATGCTGCCCCGCAGCATGCATCGGAGGAGCACCTGGCCAGCTACAGAAACGCCACAAGGAGGAGGAGGAGGAGGAGGACGAGGAGGAGGAGGAAGAGAGGACGAGGAGGACAAGGGGAGGGGGCGAGGACAGAAGCGCATTTTGCGCCAAACGTTTCAACGGTGCTCCAACGTGGCTGCCGCCGTTCAAGGGCCCCCTGGGGCCTTTGGGAGGCCTCGTGGGAGTCTCGGGTGTCATCTTGGGGGCGGGGGTGCACGGTTTCCCCCGGGGCCGTAGGCGATCGGAGGAGGAGGAGGAGGAGGAAGAAGAGGAGGACGAGGATGAGGAGGGGGAGGAGGAGGAGGAAGATGAGGCGTAGGGGAAAAAGGAGGGGGAGAAGAAGGAGGAGGGAGGAGGAGGAGCAGGGGGGAGAGGGGGAGGGAGGAGGAGGAGGAGGAGGAGGAGGAGGAGGAGGAGGAGGAGGCCCAGCGTCTGAATGAAGAGGAGGAGGAGGAGGAGGAGGAGGAGGAGGAGGAGGAGGAGGAGGAGGAGCGGGTCGCCAAAGCCCTTCGTAGAAACCCTCCAGGCCAGGGCCCCCCTCTGGGGGCCTTCGGGGGTCGGGGTGATATTGGAGGTTCCCTCGGTCGTCTTACAGCGTCGGAGGCCTGAAAAGGCGAGGACGTCAATCCCCTTCCAACACCTGGGGGAGGGCAATCAATGACTTGGTTCTGTCGGGGCCCTCTTGGGGGGCCTCTGGGAGCTCGGATCCCTCTTCGGCCGCATTTGGGCTCTGATGGGTCGTCTGAACACTATGTTGGCAACCTCTTCGACCTGCTGGGCGCGATTCAGGCCATCTTGGCTCGTCTAGGAGCCCTCTTGGACCGTCTTGTTTGATAGGTGCTTGCTTGCTGTTGTGTTTGCGTGCTACTTGCTTGATGCTTGCTTGCTGTTCGCTGCGATGTCGATTGCTGCTGCGTGCGGTTTACGATTGCTGCTTGTTGCTGTCGTGTGTTGCCTGTGGGCTGTAGCCGGTTGTTGCTGGTGGCTCTCATTCCGCTTTGCTGCTGCTACGAATGGAATGCTGATTATGCTTGGTGTTGCCGGCTGCCCATGGCTGCTGCTGAAAGCTCGTGGACACCTGTGCAATCTCATGGGGCATCTTGAACCGTAATGAGGGGGACCTGGGGATATCGCACACGCAAGCGTACTAGAAGGGATGGGTGAATGCTTGGGTGGACGCTGCACTACGCCACATCTCGGAGAACACACTTGCGGCGACGCGGCTTGGCCGAACAACCGCAGAACGGAAGAGCAATGCATCCGAGAGGACAATATTGTTCGCTGCACGCACGGACGGCGGATGCAACGCTGCGATCTGAGGAAGGGAAGTTCCGTTTTGCACGCGGCCCTTGCGTTAAAGGGCCACCAGGACAGCCTTGGAGCCCTCCGCTGAAGCCCCGTGGCCCGTGCCTGCGGAAGGCCTCCAGGGCGACCCAAGTGTGACAAACACTTGGCTCGCCCTGGAGGCTCGAGTGTGAAAAAACAGTCCAATTGTTACCATACTTGAGCTTTGAATTCTATCATACTTGAGCCTTCGTGGGCAAGGCCTTGCCCTCGTCGACGGCTTCGCGGCCAGTGTGCAAAGGGGGGGCGTCGAGGACGGCCCCAGACCCCCCCGCACAAGGCCACCAAAAAAGCGTGCCCACGAAGGCCTTCCTGGCAGGTTCCAGACCCTTGGTAGAGAGGGCCCCGCCCCCTCACGCGGCCTCCTCCTCCTCCTCCTCCTCCTCCTCCTCCGCCTCCTCCTCCTTCTACTCCTCCGCCTCATCCTCCTTCTCCTCCTCCTCCTCCTCCTCCTCCGCCTCCCTCCTCCTCCTCCTCCTCCTCCGCCTCCTCCTCCTCCTCCACCACGCGCCCCCCTCACGCAGCCCCCTCGGGGCCCGACCCTTTCTGGTCAGGTCCACGCGGCTCTTGTGCGGGGCGCTTTCAAGAGCACTCCGGAGAACCCGCGGCATGTCTGCACCAAGACCTCTGGGGCAGCCCCAGAGCTGCCTTCGTGGACGAGGCCCAGATCCCCCCGCGTCTCGCGGCCAGTGTGTGGGAGCATCCAAAAAAAAGATTAGGAGCTCCTGCCTGCAGCCGCGCGACTCTTTTCCACGAAAGCCTCCAGGGCGGTCCGGGAGCCTGCGTGGACAAACTCCGCCGAACATGCTGCTGCTCCACCTCGTTGTCGTCCCTCCTCCTCCTCCTCCTCCTCCTCCTCCTCCTCCTCCTCCTCGCCTCTCCGTCCTCCTCGTCGTTTTTTTGCGTTGAGCGGACTCTAGGTGCAAGCCTTAGCGTTTTCCTCCTCCTCTTCCTCCTCCTCCTCCTCCTCCTCCTTCTCCTCCTCGACCTCGACCTCCTCGTCCTTCGCTCACTAGTCCTCTGACTCCGACTCCGTCATCGGTGCTGATGCTCCCTGCCGCTTCTCGTGTCGACGCCACGTGCTGCTCAGCCGCGGTGCCCGGGGACCGAAGGGATGAGAAGCGTCTTAGGGGCCTCCGGCAGGGGCCTTTTCCGGGGCTCCCTGAGGCCTCTGGGAGCCTGTTGGGGGCCTCCCTGGAGGCCTCGGCCTTCTGGGGCCCTCTTGGGGGCGTCTTGGGGGTCTGCTGGCCGTGGCAGGGGTCCGATCGTGGAGAACCCTCTCGATTTCGAATTCGGGACTCCCCTCTTGGGCCCCTCGTGGGTCCGTCCGGGGAACCTGTTCGGCAGTGTTGGGCGTCTCCCGGGCCGTCTTGGGCGCCTACTGGGCCGTCTTATGAGAGGATCTTCTGGAGGCCGCATGGGCCGCGTTCGGCTGATTTCGGAAGACCTCCGGGCCGTCTTGGGTGTTGCGGGGCCGGAGAAACAAATGTACGAATAAATGCAGCAATAAGCTAAGGGAAATTCGCAATGTGTGTCCTCAGCGCTCCTCTTGAAGCCTTCTCGTGCTGTGCTTGGGGCCCCTTTCGACGGTCTTAGGCCATGTTGGGGCCCTCTTGGGCTGTCCGGGGCACAGCCGCACTTGGTACAGAATAGCATCCTTCAAGAACATGAGACCCTCCTCCGGCCTAAACCCACTGTACATCCAGGGGTGTTTTTGTTCCCCTAGGGCGCACAAGAACATCCAACAAACACGAAAAACACTAGGGTACCCTCCCCGAGCCGACCTCGATCTCATGCCTCGATCCGGACGTATCTCTGGCGGCCATCGTGAGCCCTCTCTCGGCGCCCTCTTGAACTGCCTTGCGGCTCTGCGGTGCCAGGGCGGCGTCATATGCCCGGGGCGGAACCGCGGAGGCGCCGCGGCCCACGAAGAAGAGCCTGTACGGACACCCGTCTGGCACGCAGAACGCCCGGCACTGCAGTACGGCGAGGGCATGGGACAAGGAACCCCTGGGTAAGGAATCCAACGTCTGGCCGCCAGTGGATCACAGGCCTGGCCATGGATATCACCGCCGCCCTCATCAGATAAGGAATCCTCCACGGCCTGAAACCGCCTGGGCACATCCCTGAACGAACGTTTTCACCGTATAAATATCGTCGGGCTGCAGCTTCGCCTCCCACATCTCTCCAAGCAGCGCCATCGACCGCTGCCACTGCTCGCCAGCCTGGCACGCGCTGATCCCGGCGTTGTAGCTGATGCATTCTAGTAGAGACTAGGGCTGACCCGTGGCCTAACGGCCACAGCATATGCCCGACACCCGCGTGAAGCACGTCGCAGAGCACGCGGCCCAGTATGGGCGGCGCGCCCGCCACGGAGGCGAGCCGACTCCGCCCTGGAGTATCATCGATGCCGCTCCTCTTCTCCTCCTCGTCGTCCTTCTCCTCTCCAGGAGACACGCGCCCAGGCTCCATGCAGCGTCTAAGACGATCCTGCTGGGCCTGCGTCAGGGCCTCTCGTCTCTGCTCCGCCCTGCTGTCGTGGAGGCAGGTTTAAAGGCTCCTTCGGGGCCGCCTTGAAGCTGTGTGGGGGGCCTGTTAGGGCCTGTGGGCTTTCTCGGAGCTCTCATCGGCCGACTTGGGCGCTACCTGGGCCGTCTTGTGATCGTCTGGGCCTCTTGGGCCGTCCTGGGGCCGTCTTGTGCCGTCCTGAGGCTCGTATGGGGACACCTGGGGACGCCTTGGGGACATTTGGCTGGCCTCTAGGGCCTGCTGGTAGCGATTGCCCAATGAATTGTGACGGGTTGGGCCCTTCGGTGCTGCCTTGGGGGGCCTGTTGACATCTCTCGGGACGGTTTGGGGCCTCGTGAGCCGTCGTCAAGATCCTTAGGCCGTCTTGGGGCCGTCCTGGGCCTCATCGGCCGTCTTTGGGCCCTACTGGGCCGTGAAAAGGGGGCGTGGCCCGAGGCCTGCAGGGCTGTCCGAGCTGTCGCGGGGGCGCGTTTCGGCCTCCCGGGGCCTCTCGGACTTGGAAAAGCCGGATTGATGCACAGCCCCTTCTGGCGCGAGCGTGCTCCTGCATTTTAGAAGAGGTGACGTCGGGCTCCAGCATAGCCTCCCACATCTCGCTCAGCAGCGCCAGCGCCCACTGCCACTGCTCGCCCTTCTCGCACGAGCTGATCCCAGCGTTGTAGCTGATCACGTTGCGCTCAATCTTCGTCTCCCACATCTCGCTGAGCAGCGTCACCGCCCTCTGCCATTGCTCACCCTTCCCGCACGCGCTGATCGCAGCGGTGCAGCTGACTAGGGCTGACCCGTGGACTCACATACACTCAAGCTTACTCGCATGCGAGGGCGAGGATCGCTTGCCTGCATGCGTGCTGCCATGATTGCGTGGCTGCTAGCCTTATGGCCTGCGTGCCGCTGTAGTGCTTGCCTGACTGCTTGCTCGACTGCTCGTTGCAGCTGACTGCTGCCTGAGATTGCATGCTACTGTTTGCTATTGTGGGCTAGGTCCTACTGCTCCGGCCAGTTGTTCGCGTGTGCGTGCTGTGGCATGATGCGAAGTGGTGCTATGGCTAGCGCGTGGTACGACTGCTGCGAGGATGGCGGAAGGAGGAGAGAGGAGCGCGATTGAGGTATGGGCGACACGCGAGGAGCGAGGAGCGAAGCGCGACGAGGGGGCAGTGGAGGGCGAAGACCGAGGAGCGAGGGAGAAGCGAGGGCCGAGGGGGCGACGAGAACGAGCGCACGACGAGCCTCGAGGACGGGCCGGAGCAGAGGGGCCAGGACCGACGAGCGAGGCGCGAGGAGAGAGAGGAGAGGAGCAGGGCGGGGAGCCGAGAGCAGGGGCCCCGGGGAACGAGGAGCACGCGGGGCACGGCCACCGCGGGGCTCTCTCCCGATCCCCCCGCGCGTCTGGCCGATGGAGAGAGGGGCTCTTTGGGGGGGGAGGTCTCGGAGGCCTACTGGCCGCCACGGGGGCCAGATTGGGGGAGAGTAAAACGACGCGAAGATCGGGACAAAATCGGATCGGGATAACTCGAAATCTCTGAGAATCGGCGGGTGTGGAGGATGTATTGGGCGCCGCGGCCGCTCCAGAGCGTTCCAGAACGCTCTGAGAGCGCTCCGGAACGCTCTGGAGCGATTTATCCCGATCCTAGCCTTGTTTTAGAGAGGGCTCCGGATGTCGGTTCGCTTTCGCTGTCTTGGGCTTCTCGGGCTCCCTCGGGGGCCCCTGGGGCGGGTCCATCGTGGAAGCCTCTGGGATCGTCTTGGGATGGCCGCTCGGCCGGCCTCGGGCCCGAAACAGCCAGCGTACGAGGTCCCTTTCACACAAACAAGCCAGAGTCCTTGCATCTGGGGTGCCTCGGTCCTATCGGGGCCAAGGGACGTCATCGGAGCCTCTTGGGCCGTCTTGGGGGTCACGGTGACCCGTGTTGGGGCCCGATTGTTCGGTCCTGACTACATGCGGTGACATGTGGGCGCTCACTTGCAGCTCATGGGGCTCTCTGGGGGCCTCCGAGCGCCTCCGAAGCCGCCAGGGGCGAAGTAAGACTCGATTCTCCGGCATTTCTCGCACTTGCGTTTTCCTGCAGCGTAGGGGAGATGTCGTCGGGCTCTAGCTTCGCCTCCCGCATCTCGCTGAGCAGCGTTAAAGATCGCTGCCACTGCTCGCCCTTTGCGCACGCGCTGATCCCGGCGTTGTAGCTGACCAGGGCTGACCCTTGGACTACGTCCACTTGCTGGGTGAAGGGGTGCTGCCGCAAGGCGATCAGTATGATTGGCGTCACGTTCGCCTGCCACACATCGCTGAGCGAGAAGACGGACGAGCGTCTGGAGGCCCCACCTGGGGCGCTGAAGGGCTCCCTTGGGATCGGGTCGGGCTTTGTCGGTGCGTTGGGTCCGACCTTCTCGGGGCGTTCTGGGGCCGTCTGGGGGCCCTCTGAGGGGCCCTCTGAGGGGCCCTAAGATCACCAACACGCCTCCAAGATGGCCCCACAATGGCCGCCCGCCCAGAATCGGTGGGAGCGATTCTGGGCCACCGGGCCGCCGACCCAGAATCCCGCCCGACGCGCCCTGGGCGGCCGCGCGCGCTTCCGGGGTCGGCCGAGGCGATTCTGGGCCACCAGAAGAGCGAAACACGGCATGGCCCCAAGAGGCCGCGGAGAGGGCTCCAGACCGACAAAAAGGGCGAGGGATTTTGTGACCAAATTCGGCAGGGAGCGCCAAACAAGCATCAAAGGCCCATGGTGTGCTGGTAGCCGTTTTGGGACCGTCTGTGGCCGTCTTAGGCCGTCTTTGGCTGCTGTTGGTGCTGTCTTCGGTGCTTCTTGGGCCGTGATCTTGGGGCCTCTGGGGGTCGTTTTGGAGCCTCAGCGCTTCTTTTCGGTCTCCTGGAAACCTCCTGGGCCGTGTGGAGGCGGTCGGGGGCCGTCTGAGGGTTGTCTGGGGCCGTCTTGTGCGTCTCTGGAGCAGTCTGGAAACCGTCTGGCGGTCGTCTAAAGCAGTCCTGGGCCACTCTTGAGTTTATCTTTGGTGCCCTGTGGGCCGCCAGGGGTGCCTCAGGAGCCGTCCTAGGACCATCTTGGGCCTCTGAATGGCCGTCTTGGACGCTATGAAGAGGGCAAGCCCAGGAACTGCCAACATGTACGCTTTCCTGGGTGAATGGGACGATTTTTCAAAGTTTGGGCTCTCTTGGGGCTCGTCGTGGAGCCCACTTGGCGCGTTTTGGAAGCCTCTTGGGACGTCTGGAGGCCGTCTGAGGCGTTGTCGGGGCCGTTGGGGGGTTGCCTGGGGCAGCCTTGGGCGTCCCTGGAGCAGTCGGGGCACTGTCTGGGGGTCATCTTGGGACGTCCTGGGCCGCTCTTGAGGCTGTCTTGGGTACCCCGTGAGCCGCCAGGGACGCCTCAGGAGCCGTCCTGGGGCCATCTTGGGACCCTGTATGGCCGTCTTGGACGCTACGAAGAGGGCAATCCCGGGAACTGCCAAAATGCAGTTTCCCCCAATGGAATGGGACGATCTTTTAATTTTCGGGCTCTCTTGGGGGTCGTCGTGACCCCCACTTGGAACGTTTTGGAAGCCTCTTGGGCCGTCTGGAGGCCGTCTGAGGCGTTGTCGGGGCCGTTTGGGGTTGCTCGGGGCAGCCTTGGGCGTCCCTGGAGGCAGTCTGGGCACCGTCTGGGGGTCGTTTTGGGCCGTCTTGGGCCGCTCTTGGGGCTGTCGTGGGTGCCCCGTGGGCCGATAGGGGTTCCTGGGGGGCCGTCCTGGGGTCATCTTGAGCCGTCTTGGGGCCCTCACCGGGGCATCTTGCGGCGATCTTGGGGGCCCCTTCTGGCCGTCGTGGGCGCCTCGGACGATTTTCTGGTGTTCGGGCTCTCTTGGGGCTCGTCGTGAAGCCCACTTGGAGCGTGTCGGAAGCCTCTTGGATTGTCTTCGGCCGTCTGGGGGCCCTCTTGGGGGCTTCCTGGGGCGTCTCGGAACGCTCTTGGGCCATCTTGGAAGCTCTCCGAGGCCTGCAGAAGCTCGCAGGGTCCGCTGCCACCGATCGGCACCTCCGCGAGCGCTGGCTCGGCGTGTCCAGCGTGTGCGTGTATCCGATTGTATAGTTAGACCACGTGCTGCTACTGCTGCTTGCTTGCTGACTTGCTTACTGCTCGCTGCTTACTTTCGTGCTGGCTTGTTTGCCGCTTATTGCTGCTGCTGCTGCTGCTGCTGTTGCCGCTGCTGCTGTTGCTGCTGCTTGCTGCAACTCTCAGCCAACATCTGATTTGGGACTGCCATGACTGAGTCAGGGTTGTTTCGTGCCTTCTTTGGCGTTTCTTGCGCTACATAAGATGCCCGGTGGGCCTGTGGGCTGTAATGGGGGTTGCCCGAGGACGTCATGGGCCGCCGTGCGGCGATGTTGAACGGCCTCGAAAGCCAAAGCTGGAAATCCCACCAGCCCTCTGGGCGCATGTGGTTGAATGAACTCTTGTCTTCTCTCTTTCCAAAACCCTGCCTTCCACTGCTCCGGGGACAGGTTCGCCCCTTCTCTAGTTTTGTCCTTCCCTGGACGTGGACGGGACGCCCCGCGATGGGGTTTGATCGCGCAAGATGGCCCAAGATGGTTCCAATAGGGCCTCAGAAAGCGTAAGATACCTCCAATATGGCCCGAGATAACCGCACATGGGTCAGGATGGCGTACGACACGCATCTAGAAAACAAAGAGCCTCAAAACGGCCCCATAGCTGCTTCAAGCGCCCCCCGAAAACTCCAAAGACACTCGCCAACGAAACCCCAATGGCTTCAAGACGTAATTGCCAAAAAAAAATCTGTGTTGCGTTTTCGCCCCTTCGCTTCCGATGGGCTTCGGAAGCCTCAAGATTGCCCCAAGACGGCTCCAGAGACCCCACAAAAACGCCCTAGAGGGCCCACAAAGAGCCCCAAGTACGCCCAAGTGCGCTCCAAGAGCGGCCGCAGAGGGATTCACAACGCAAGTGCTGAGCCTCCCTGAGGATCCTAATATGATGTCTCCGCTCTGTTTGAGCCATGGTGGCCAAGACGGCCCCAATAGGCTTCCCAGACAGCCCCAAAGAGACCTAGGAAGGCTCCAAGACCCCCCCACAACAACAACAACAAAAAAAAACTCACGGGCGCTCCACGAGGGACTCAAGATGGCATTCAGGGTCCTCCAAGACCATGTTTCTGGATGGGCTGGAAGCGATACTTTTTCATCGCGACCGTAGCGACACATCGCCCGGCGTCAAGTCAACGTGCAGCTAACGAGCAGCGGGCTAAATTAGGCCCTAAACGACAGGAGCGGGCTACGCTGCCAGTCAGGAAACGAAACCGACGCTGAAGACCAGGTGGTACACGCCGAAGCCGACGAAGGCCAGGAGGGAGGCCTCGATGCACACCAAAATGGCGAATGAATTAATACGTGACCAAGTCCAGGAAGAGGACCAAGACAAGTCAGGCGGCGTGCAAGTTCTCGACGACCACGAAAAAACGAATGGAAGGCAATGCGAACGCCACGGCGGGGGTCGACAGCCAGGCCAGCGACCCATCGGGGGCGGCAGAGCGCAGTGCCACGAGCCACCACTCACGTGAGAAAGGAGCACGTCAGGCGAAGTGGGGACGCGGGGCCCAATGATGAGGGAGGCGTCCACCAGCCAATGCGCGCCCAGTCGGCGAGGCGGCCCGGCGGTGCAGGCGGCGCGCCCTGGAAAACTGATGGGGATAGGCGGGGCGTCAAGAATCCCACCAGCCCTTCGGGCGTGAGTGGTTTAGCGAGCTCTCTCTGTTCTCAACCCCCCTT